AAATATTTCGCTTCCTAAATAAATATTTAGATTAGTTCTAAATATCAAACTTGCTAATAAATATTTAACAAGTGAGACATTTTCTTTATGAATTACGGAAGCCGAAAGCGGTCGTACTCGACTTTTTTTTCTTTGCCTTCTCGAGATAGTGAGATAACTATCTCGTTATCACAGTTAAACCATGAATTGTTTTGTCTAGATAAAAAGATAGCTATCTCGTTATCACGAAAAAAGAGTTACTGATTTTTTGAGCTAATGAGATGATTAACCTGTATGAGTAACAAATGAGGTTGGCCAACAGCCCTGGATTCCCAGTCCAGTGGTGCCCGTAGTTGTGCAGTCGCGGTACCGCATGTGCGCAAATAATCGGTTTTTTAGTTTCCTTTTTCTTTTCACTCATTGTCAGGCCTTGCAGTAGAAACAAATCTGACTGTTTTTTTTTTTTATGAAAATATTTAATTTGGACTAATTTTGGGGGTTAATGTATCTTCTACCTGTTACAGGCGTAACACCGGGGCTTTTCAGAAAACAGCCGACACTAAGGCGCCGGAAGCATAGGTCTAATTGCTCATGACTCAGAAATGGAGGCAAATCATCAAAGCAACAACGTGTCTCGTTACCTAAATGTTAAACACAGGATTATTTACAGAGGTACACATGGGCTGCCATGACTTATATTTATAAATCCTCTCCCTCTGTTTAGGTATTGAAGGATGTTACACTTTAAAAAGCATTTAAAGAACTAAAACACTTCCATGAAATAAGAGTTCAACCCTTCTGTTGTCTCAGAGATTTGTCTTGTCTCTTAGAATTATATCGGTTCCTTTTCCTTATTGTAATGATCAAGCACTTAATGTGTCATTTTAGGGACAGAGCCTTATGGTGCGATCACACAGCACGCAGTGAACACGGGGATTTCCATGAGCCCCGCAGGTAGCACCCCGCTCTGCGTTTTAGATGCACTGTGTACATCCTGGACTGCATCATCAAATAGGAGGAGCTTCAGTTGCTTTAAGCTGACACCCCACTGACTTGGAAAACCCACCCACAACAATAGACTTAATGGTTATTGCTTCTTTAGTGCAGGTTTGTGCACTTAATGTTCATTTGGGAAATGAATAAATAAAGATCATGTCTGCTACTTTTGTTTCAGAGATATTAAAAAGACTATTTGGAAGAAATCCAGAGGTAAACCATCTCCCCATTAAGCTACGAATTGAATCAAAATTATCTAGCCTACTTTTTAGGCCTGCTTCCTTTTTGCAGGTAAACTATCATTTATGCTGATTTGGTTTCTAAGATAGAATTATTTTTAATTACGATCGATGACGTCACCAGCTGTGCCAAAACGTGATCGTCTGTCAAAAAGCGATCAGCTAAGTTCGGGTGAGTCCCCGCAGAGCAGTGAACAAAGGAATACGAGGCTTGTTTAAAGTGGGTGTAAGCCAAGACTGCCTGTGTTCTATCAAGTGTCTTGCTCTGTGTTTTAAATTTTGAAATCAAACACTATTAACTCCAGTCAAACAGTAATGTTTGTATGACCGATGTTACAGCAGACGTGTGTCTTATTTACCTTTCTCCTCGTCTTCTCCCCATCAGAGGCTGCGTTTCACATGTTAATCGTTGTAAACATCTGCAAAATGTAAACGGACTTTTGCAATAAAAGAAAACTTACGTATCTGCAATAAGTTTGATGCGATTTAAAACTATTCTTTCACGTCACTGTACAGTGATGGATGTAACTCATTGAATTATTTAAACTAAAACGTTTTTGTCATAGTTTTCCATGGGGAATATTATTTACTGATTTTGAAAATGTAGGTACAGAGAGTGTATAGTAGAACATGTAGAATTTCAAGGAAGAATCAAAGTTTATTAATCTTGATTTGAACTTCCCATTCTAAATAAATTCCTTGATTAGAGAAAATAGGACACCTTTACTCTCCAAAGAGTAATGAAAAATTGTTATATGAATATTAAAATGTAATTCCTTCCTAAAATCACCGGAACACATAATATTAAATATATTGTGCTTATCGCACCCCCACCATATCTAAAATTATCCATAAAATCCACAAAAAGAGTATTTTACTGGCCAAAAAAGGGATTCATGCACATATTAACCCATACAATGTAATTTATGTGTAAAATTTCTTTATTTCACTCGAGGACATAATTTTAGATATATCTCACTGAAGTCACACCGTCTAACATTACAATAAAACACAAAATATGACTTTATTACCTACCAAAAAGTGATTCTCGCCAATTTATTGACCTGTAAAATGCAATTTCTTGCACAATATTGCTTTAATTCCACTCAAAGACATAATAAGTAATATATATTATATCCCAAAATGAAAACATCCAAAAAAAGACTACTTTGCTTGCAAAAAACTGATTATTGCTTAATTACTGACTTATAAAATGTAATTTATACATAAAATTGCTTTATTTCACTGTAGGGCATAATACAGTATGTAATATAGCTTACTGTTTTTAAGTTTTGAAATTATTTTAGCTCTTTGTAAATTCTTTTAATCAGATTTGCCAAAACTTATAATAAACTTATTTACCCTTCTCCTCCTCCTCTCCCCATCAAAGGCTGCATTTCCCATGTTTGGCCTAATAAACATCTGCAAATTCTAAACAAACTTTTGTAATTAAGGAAAACTTTAGACGACATATCTCCACTATGTTTGATTTGATTTAAAACTATTCTGTGACATTACTGTGCTGTGATGGATGTGACTCAATTAATTATTTAAATGAAAAAGTTTTTGTAATATTTTGTTTTTCATGGGGAATATTATTTTTTGATTTTAAAAAATATAAGTACAGATAGTGTATGGTAAAAAAAAGGACAACTTAACTCGCCAAAGAGTAATGAAGAATTATTATATGAATATTAAAATGTAATTCCTTCCTAAAATCCCCCTAAGACATATTTTATTTTGCAAATCTCACCCCTTTTAAATTTAAAAGAATCCACAAAATCTACAAAAAGAGTATTTTACTTGCCAAAAAGTGATACACGCTTTTTTATTGACCTGTATAGTATAATTTGTGCACAAAATTGCGTTATTTCACTCAAAGACATTGTTTTAGATATATCTTACTGAACACATGCCTTTCAACATCAAAATAATTCACAAAATACACAAAATATTACTTTATTACCTGCCAAAAAGATATTTTCACTTATTTATTGACCTGTAAAATGTAATTTTTGCACAATAACTCTTTATTTCACTGAAAGGCATAATGTGTCTTATATATCTTACTGAAGCTTGCCTTATATGCGTCCTCAATAATTGAGGTTACAGACATTAATGACAACAACCCAGTTATTAGTTTAAAATCTTTGTCCAACCCTGTCCCAGAGAGTGTTTCACCTGGTACAGAGATGAATAAACGCAGTTAAGGTATTAAAGACCACAGCTTTCACCTCTATTATAATAATTCTGTGTTTTACACCGATTACAGGTTTGATAAAAAGCCAGACCAATTAGTTTTTATATCGGTTCAACCTCAGGCACCACCCAGAAGGGAAAAACTAATACTAATACTTAGCACGTGTTATACTTCAAGTAAACTCCAAATAGCTTGAGTATTTCCACAATATTTAATGCCTGATTGATTGGATGGTTTTCTTTTAGATTCATTACAAGAGCCTAATTAAATAAATGCAACCATTGATATGATTGCTGAATTTTTTTGATTTGTTACACAACTATATAGTCAGGGTATTTTTTTTGTATACAACTTAGGTTTTGATTTTATTGACTGCAATTTTTAATGATCACATTCGTTTAAGGTAATATATCTACATAACTAATTAAATAAATGAATAAATCAATAATAGAGCAAAGATATTCATATTTCCCATAAGATGGTTAAAAGGTCTCTACAATTCGTTTGACTTGTCATGTAAAATAGCAGCTTTTATAGATGTCTCTGTCCCTAGTGCCGATATCTCTGTACCTGGTCCTAAAGTCTCTCCCTGGTGCTGTTGTTTCTGACACTGGTGCTGATATCTCTGTCCTTGGTGCTGATATATCTGTCCCTGGTGCCGATGTCTCTGTCCCTGGTGCTGACATTGACCACTGCTCTAACAAACGATGTTTAAAAATACTGAGAAGTTTCTACATCCTGCAAAAAAAAGTGACGTATCAGTTTAATTCCAATTTTCTTCTCAGATTATATAATTTGATCTTCTGTTATGCGACTTTTTATATTAAATACACTTTAGGTTACTGATATAATGATGGTATAATTAGATAAAAATAATTAATCAATGATGTTTATCCTATGACTTGCGTTTCAAGTTTATCTACAAAAAAAAGTGTAAGTACTTTTGTGTGGGGACCAGTGGGAGTCATTATAGAGGTAAACTGTAAATTCACTTAAGCTTTAATTTATTATTAGGAATATACGTGTAATGTTAGGTTAAAGAAAATGTGAGGCTGAGGCAAAATGCAATAAGCAAAGTGAATGTAAGTCAGTGTAGAATCTTGATATAAATAGAAAAACAATCTTGAGGTCACATTGGGGAGGTCAGATTATTTCTCAATTCTGAGCTATGTTTATTGTTTTTCGTTCAATATTTGAAATAAGTTACTGACGCCTTACTTATACTTTAATGTTTTTATTGACATAATGTTTTATTTTATTCTGTGATTCCATATTTTTACTCTAATGCACATAACAAAATATCATTATAAAGGTCTAAATAATCTAATTAGAAGGCAAAAAGTAGCTGAATAAATAATGATACGTAAAATTTTCAGACCGCTCCGTTTTTGAAAATTGAAAATACTTCAGGTGTTATGACAAATGTATAATTTTACTTTGATGATAATGCATCAATGAAGTAATTTCATATTTTTTAAACAATTTTATTTTTCATTATATTTATATTTATATTTTTGTTGAGTCTTTATATTTTAACGATACTCACGGTGTCGCTATAGACCAGCAACGCGTTCAGCTACCAGCGGTCTTTGCACACGATCCATTAGATGGGGATTGTTTGTTCTCTGTTCTTTAGAGCTGGAGAGACGACGTGGAATGCTGAAATCGTGATCGGAAATAATAGTTTCATCTGTGGATACCCGGATTGTTATATTAATAAACAAGGTAACTGGTAATGGCGCGTGAAGGTTTTCTTCAGAAGATTTACGGTGTTCTCTTTGTCTTTTTTCTGGCACAACGCACAAAGGGAGACCTGACCTATTCCGTTCAAGAGGAGCTAAAAAAAGGATCTATCATCGGAAATATCGCCAGGGATTTAGGACTGGAATCACTGGGAATCTCTGCTCGTAAAGCCCGCGTTGAAATGGAAGGAAGCCAGAAGGAGTATATCAGAGTTGATTTGAGAAACCAAGATTTAGTGGTAACCGAAAGAATAGACAGGGAGGAGCACTGTGGACAAAACCCGAATTGTATTCTCAAATTTGACTTGCTTTTAGAAAATCCACTGGAACTGCATCGATTGTCCCTTCAAATACAAGATATAAACGATAATTCCCCGGTGTTTCAGAAGGATTCCGTCAAACTGGAAATCAGGGAGTCAGCTAACAAAGGGTCCAGGTATCGCATTAATGCTGCGCATGATGCTGATATAGGCCAGAATGCGGTTCAAAGATACATCCTGCAACAAAACGCTAATTTTGTGTTCAATATGCAGACAACCAATGCTGGTAGTAAATATGGAGAGTTAGTCTTAGATAAAGAATTAGACCGGGAAGAGCAACACAAGCTGATTTTATTACTGACAGCTGTGGATGGTGGATCTCCACAGAGATCAGGGACTGTAGTCATTAAAGTCACAGTGCTCGATGCTAATGATAATGCTCCCTTTTTTACTGAGGCCGTGTACAAAGCCAGCTTACATGAAAATGCTCCTTTAAATACTCCAGTTATAACAGTGAGTGCAAAAGATGCAGATGAAGGTCTTAATGGTGAGGTGACATATGAATTTGGCCGGATATCTGAAAAATCCGAAAAGTTGTTTTCACTTGATGAAAAAACGGGAGAAATAGTTGTAGCAGGCGAAATAGACTATGAAGAAGGATCTAAATATGAACTCGTGATTGAAGCCAAAGACGGGTATGGTCTGTCCTCAGAAGCTAAAGTGATTATTGATATCACTGATGCAAATGATAACGCTCCAGTGATATATTTAAAATCCTTGTCCAATCCCATACCGGAGAACGTGTCACCTGGTACAGAAGTGGGCATCATTAACGTGCAGGACAGAGACTCTGAGAGAAACAGATTGGTGCGCTGCTTTGTCCAACAAAATGTTCCTTTTAAATTGGTTCCCTCGATTAAAAACTACTATTCACTGGTGACGGCAGGTCAGCTGGACCGTGAATTAGTATCTGAATACAATATTACAATCACTGCTACTGATGAGGGCTCTCCACCTCTGTCTTCTTCTAAAACTGTAAAGTTATCTATAGCTGATATTAACAACAACCCACCAGTATTTGAGGAACAGTCCTATAGTGCATATATTAATGAAAATAACAAACCTGGCTCCACTTTATGCTCCATTTCTGCCCAAGATCCAGACTGGAGACAAAACGGTACAGTGATTTATTCTCTGTTACCTGCTGAGGTGAACAGTGCTTCTGTATCATCTTATCTATCTGTTAATGGAGACACAGGGGTGATCCATGCTGTGAGGTCATTTGATTATGAACAGTTCAGGAGTTTTAAAGTCTACGTGATGGCCAGAGACAATGGTTCCCCTCCACTCAGCAGCAACGTGACTGTCAGTGTGTTCATTTCGGATGTGAATGACAACTCTCCTCAGATTCTGTACCCCAGCCTGGAGGGCAGCTCCTTCATGACTGAGCTGGTCCCTAAAGCTGCACATGGATGCTCTCTGGTCTCCAAAGTCATAGCGGTGGATGCAGACTCTGGACAGAATGCCTGGCTGTCCTATCATATAGTCAAAGCCACTGATCCTGGACTTTTCAGTATAGATCTGCACAGTGGAGAGATCAGGACACAGCGGGATATTTTAGAATCTGACAGCATGAAACAGAACCTGATTGTTGCAGTGAAAGATAATGGACAGCCCTCTCTGTCTGCCACCTGTTCCATGTATTTACTTATTTCTGATAACTTGGCTGAGGTGCCAGAACTGAAAGATATTTCTTATGAGAAAAATTCTAAACTGACCTCTTACCTGATTATTGCGCTGGTTTCTGTATCCACCTTCTTTCTGACCTTCATTATCATCATCCTTGGTGTGCGGTTTTGTTGGAGGAGAAAGCCAAGATTGTTGTTTGATGGAGCAGTGGCCATCCCTGGAGCCTACCTCCCTCCTAATTATGCAGATGTTGACGGTACGGGAACTTTACGCAGCGCTTACAATTATGACACCTACCTGACAACAGGATCTAGAACCAGTGACTTTAAGTTTATATCATCCTACAATGACAACACGCTTCCTGCTGACCAGACTCTGAAGAAAACTCCGTCGGACTTTGCTGATATGTTTGGAATATGTGATGATTCTCCTGAGGTAGGAACATTTATGAAGAAGTCTACTCCTCTTATGTTGACTTTTGAGTAATACACATACCAATTTGATTGTGTATTAACTAATTACTGTTATCTAATATTATTCATCTTTTAAAAATCCTTATAGATATGTTAAGAGCATGATAAAGTCTGAAGAAGACTATGGTGTGTTTATGTCTTGTTTTCAGACATTGACTTTTATCCCCGATTAAAAGAACATGTTTCCTTAAATGTTTTTGGAGTTTAAATATTTTAATCCCTTCTACATACTCATAACAAATTCAAAAATCTGTTTTTTAAAATGTCTTGACATCATAGAAAAAAACTTAGTTTTGCTTTTTTTGCAAACTATATATTATTAATCTAAATTTATTCAAAATAATACTGTCACTTTAAATATATAAGGAGCATATTTGGTTTGCTGTTGACAGTGTTTTTCATGTTGAAATCATTTCCAACGTGGACATTTAAATGACTGAGACCACTAATTACTTTTTTGACTATTTTAGGTTAAATACCAAGGGTTCCACTCAAAATTACGGCTTCTGGAAAAGTCTGTGATTAATTACTTGTTGCAGATCAAAGTCAAACAATAACAACAAGAACAGTTTAAGCTCTTTATGTTTGTCCCAACTCTGACTGTTCCCTATTTATTCACTCTGCCATGAGCTCATCTACTGTACACAATTTTTCATTAAGTATTCCCATTGAGTATGTAAATTTCACAATGGATAAAATGGGATGTTATTATTAATTTTACGATTGTGTTGTTGTTGAATAGATTTTTAAAAATACATGTACTTTTATGGTGATGCAATTCACATTGGCTACTTATAGTCTGAAACGTAGATGGATCTTCGCTTCAGTGAATTTATTTCTTTATCAACAATTTTTGTGAATATTATTTCTGAAGTGCTCTTTTGTTTTATTTTTATAACCCCAGACACGCTTTCCCTCCACATTTAGTAGGGTAGGTTATCCTACTGAAACAGAAAAATGCAATCTGCTGATTGTGTGTACAGTAGATGCAATTGTTGGTGTATAGTGAATGATTTCAGCAAACCTCTATGTTTGTGTTAAAGGTAATGAAGAATGTTCTTTTTCCAGGTGGATCATAAACATAAGTTGTCCTCCTAATTCTCAATCATTCTGTTGATATGTTTATGTAAGGCCATCCTATGTGCTCGTTTCCATTTTCATACCGGTGGTGAGTCTAACATGGTCGAAAAATTTAAAATCTTCTTTTGGAAAGTAAGCTTGTGTGAGCGATGCAAGCACCAACTTGTAAACGGAACGTGCACAAGGAGAAATGGGCTTTTGCATGTTCTCGCAGGCATTTAATAGACATTCCCTCTCAGGGAACGGCTACAGGGTTGTGCATGTGCATTTTTGTTTAATGGAGAGGGTGGGTTCTTTCAAAAAATTTGCCAAAAAAAATCATCAGTTATACCTTTAAGAGAAGGCTACCTCAGTATTTATCAGAAATTTCTATGTTAATGGGACTTTTTCACATGTGGTTTACACCGGTAGATTAAAATATTTCAGTATCAAAAATTAAACAAGAGTGAAGACTGGACAAGAACATTAAGATTGGAACTAAATATTTAATTTAAAACTAGATTGTTAGATTGTCAAATAAATATTTAATTTAAAGATAAATATTTAGTTAGGCCACTAAATATTTATTTAAAGTGAAATATTTAGTTTACAAACTAAATATTAAGATTAGTACTAAATATTAAACTTGCTAAATAAATATTTAATTAACAAGTTAGAAATTTTCTTTATAAATTATATATTTACTTGCTAAATAAATGTTTTTTGTTTATTTATTTATAAGCTACAACTTAAAAAGCATTTAAAGAACTAAAACACGTCCATGAAATAAGAGTTAAACCCTGCCCCTGTCTCAGTCTTAGAATGAAATCAGTTCCTTTTCCTGTAGTTATTGTAATGATCAAGCACCCGTTTCATTTCAGGGACAAATCCTTATGGTGCGTTCACACAGCGCGTGGTGAAGAGTGAACACGTTCGAGCCTCGAAGGTAGTTCCCCACTTTGCATTTCAGATGGACTGTGTTTACAGCCTGGAGCGCATCATCAAATAGGAGGAGCTTTAGCTGTGTGAAGCTGACACCCCACTGACGTGAAAATAAGAAAAAATAGACAGAATGTTTATTGCTTCTTAAGCAGTTGTGTGCTTTTATATCGTCATTTGGAAAATAAATAAAGATCATGTGTGCTACTGTTGTTTCAGAAATACTAAAAAGATATATTTTTTAAGGTAATCCCGAGGTCAATTATCCCCCATTAGGGTCCGAATTGAATCAAAATGATCTATCCTACTGTTTCAGCGCACTTCATTTTTGCAGGTAAACTATAATTCATGCTGATTTGTTTTCTAATATAGAATTATTTTTTATTACGGCCGATGACGTCGCCATCCCTGCAGACGTTTCCGGATATAACATATAGTTTCACATGCCATTCCTGTGCTCGTATTGAATTAAAACAGAGGAAATGTTGACTTTTTTAGTGGCTGAAATGATTATTCAATATTTAGTAAATCACCAGCCTCCCAGAACCTCTACTTTTGAGCTTTCGTTACCCCTGGCAACCATGTAATTCCCTGCCAAGGTCTAGCTGTCAGTCGCCATTTCACAATAAGAGCACAGGTAAAACTTAACGTCATTGATTAACGCTAAATTATTCCTTATAAAAACTTTTGAATTGCCTTGGGGAGACCATTTTTTAATAAGCTATAAAAGCTCAGAAAATAAAAGTCCACTTTGGTTTATCCAGACACAGCTCTGATTCGGTCGGATTTGGTGGGACTTCCCTCTATATCTTCCCCCTTAGATAGCACAGGTGCTTGGCATTGTGCAGTGACAGAGCGGGCTCCTTGCTGGAGGTTAGCGAGGAGATTAACAGTGCTTCTCGGACTAAATTAAAACAGCTTTTTTAAAGCGACCTAAATACCTCTTCAGAGCATTTCTCATTTCTACCTTTTTTTAAAACACTATTTTATCTGTGTTCTATTTTAAGCGAATACAGCTTCACCTGCAAACAGTCCTCAATTGGCTGTCGTGTCGCGATTTCATAGAAAAGTTTAGATTTTTTCAAATTCTGCGACAGCTGATCCTCTCTCCCCTTGTGGGGTTGTTGTTTTACAACACCTCAGCACTATCTAGTAGCACGACGTGAGGGAGGAGCAGTGAAAGCTCTCACCGCCTGGAGTTTACCGCTAGCCGCGCGGTTGGTATAGGACTGTGAATCCACCGCAGTCAGCGTTGCCACGGCCTCCGGTGTGAGCGCACCGTCAATTACCTGGCAAACTGTTACTTAAAAAGAAAAACAAACGTAACATAAACTTCAAACAAAGAGCACATTGGGGGTTATTGGAGCGGGGCTGATCACACGCTTAAAACACCAATTTTTCTCCTTCGGTCTCGTTGGTATTTTACAGGGCTGCCTTTTTTATTTTGGTGGAGCGTAAATGCTTAGAACTAACGAGTCAATTCAGATTAATTTCCCTTTGTCCGAGATTTGCAAACAGCTCTCATATACCTTAATTGCTCTTTGCTCATCCTGAGATTTTCAAAGTGACTTTTTGAAGATGCATTTCCCTTCATAGAGCTTACAAACCTGTCTCATTGTCTCATTGCGCAGAGTACGCAGGGGAAGCTTTTGCGCACACCAGAGAGAAGGTAACAAGGACACTGTGGGGCATTCCCGTGTCTTTTCTATTATGAAATATACATTAAAATATTAGTCTTTATAAACGTTTCATTAAATTTTAAAGGGGACTTGTGAAAAAAAAAATCTGGTGCCTTCCCCTCATCTGCACGAACTATAGCGAGCGTAGACTAATCCACGATCCCATTTTCTTGCCAAGTGAAATAGTAGCTTTATATACACTATATTGCCAAAAGTATTTGCTCACCTGCCTTGACTCACATATGAGCTTAAGTGACATCCCGTTCCTAATCCATAGGGTTCAATATGACGTCGGTCCACCCTTTGCAGCTAGAACAGCTTCAACTCTTCTGGGAAGGCTGTCCACAAGGTTTAGGAGTGTGTTTATGGGAATTTTTGACCATTCTTCCAGAAGCGCATTTGTGAGGTCGCACACTGATGTTGGACGAGAAGGCCTGGCTCTCAGTCTCCGCTCTAATTCATCCCAAAGGTGTTCTATCGGGTTGAGGTCAGGACTCTGTGCAGGCCAGTCAAGTTCATCCACACCAGACTCTGTCATCCATGTCTTTATGGACCTTGCTTTGTGCACTGGTGCACAGTCATGTTGGAAGAGGAAGGGGCCAGCTCCAAACTGTTCCCACAAAGTTGGGAGCATGGAATTGTCCAAAATGTCTTGGTATGCTGAAGCATTCAGAGTTCCTTTCACTGGAACTAAGGGGCCAAGCCCAGCTCCTGAAAAACAACCCCACACCATAATCCCCCCTCCACCAAACTTTACACTTGGCACAATGCAGTCAGACAAGTACCGTTCTCCTGGCAACCGCCAAACCCAGACCCGTCCATCAGATTGCCAGATGGAGAAGCGCGATTCGTCACTCCAGAGAACGCGTCTCCACTGCTCTAGAGTCCAGTGGCGGCGTGCTTTACACCACCGCATCCGACGCTTTGCATTGCACTTGGTGATGTATGGCTTGGATGCAGCTGCTCGCCCATGGAAACCCATTCCATGAAGCTCTCTGCGCACTGTTCTTGAGCTACATGAAGTTTGGAGGTCTGTAGTGATTGACTCTGCAGAAAGTTGGCGACCTCTTCGCACTATGCGCGTCAGCATCCGCTGACCCCGCTCCGTCAGTTTACGTGGCCTACCACTTCGTGGCTGAGTTGCTGTTGTTCCCAAACACTTCCATTTTCTTATAATACAGCTGACAGTTGACTGTGGAATATTTAGGAGCGAGGAAATTTCACGACTGGATTTGTTGCACAGGTGGCATCCTATCACAGTTCCACGCTGGAATTCACTGAGCTCCTGAGAGCGACCCATTCTTTCACAAATGTTTGTAAAAACAGTCTGCATGCCTAGGTG